AACAGATGCTGCCGGACCTGCTGAGCTTTTCCAGCAACTTTGTTTTTGTTCCGGATTTACAGCATCCGCAGTTCTTTTGGTTTTTACTTTTTTTGTTGAGGCTTGTTAACAGTTTGACTCAACCTATTGCTCTTCAAAATGGCCTAGCAAGCCAATTAAGAGTCAACCATATTGCTGCAGGTCTGGATTCACATCAGGTCCGATAAGGAAAGCATGGCAGATTTTTAAACAACCATTGATGATGGCTTTGTGGTCATCATTAGACTTTTAATTTCAGATTTTAAAAAAAAAATCCAACTCCACCATCTGCCATGGTGGGATTTAAACCCGATCAGTAGAGCTTTATTTGGGTCTCTGGATTCCTATCCAGCAACAATACCTCTATGCCTTCACCTCCCAATGACCTCCTTTTGTGCTACAACTGTACTATGATATTACCCACTTACAAGGTAATTTCTACTAACAATTTGTCAACGAAAACCAAGAACTTTCCAACTGATCGCATAGATAATTTGTTTCCATTATAAATTTCTCTTTGGAGTCTTAAACTGATTCTTCTATTCACCTGTAAAAGTTAACAATGGGATTCGTGGCTAAATAGGTTATTGAAATTTTTCAAATTGAAGTCATATTGGCAAAAAAAGGCAGAAATTTCAGGGTCTTATTCTTTTTAAACATATCATCACTGCACTGCCAATGGAGCAGTTCAGGAACGATGGGAAAAATTATGTCAAGTCTAATAATCATGATCAAACAAAACAACAACAATGAAGTTGTAAGATTATGTATGTCGAGGCAGATTACTCTGGGATGACTTTACAGAGATTCATAAAAATCATGCGGGGCATGGATAAAGTGAATACCAAGGTATTTTTCCCAGGGAAGGGGAGACCAAAACTAGAGGGCATAGGTTTAAAATGAGAGGGGCAAGATTTAAAAGGGACCTGAGGGGCAGACGATGGCGTGTGTACGGAACGAGCTGCCAGAGGAAGTGGTAGAGGCGAGCACAATTACAACATTTAAAAGGCATCTGATTGAGTACAAGAATAGGAAGGCTTTAGAGGGATATAGGCCAAATGCTGGCAAATGGGACTGGATCAGTTTAGGATATCCGGTCGGCATTGACAAGTTGGACCCAAGTGTCTGTTTCCATGCTGTATAACTCTATGAATCTCTTACCTTTCCACAGATGTATGACTTCGGGTGAAGATTTTCTGCTGCTAGGATCAACCCATGCACAACATTATCAACATATGTGAAGTCCACCAGGTTCTTGCCATTTCTGTGGAAACATGGTTAATCTCATTGCCTGATAAAACAAACAATTAATTGAAAACTGCAGTCACACCCAGCAGATTCCAAGGCATGGTAATTGACAGTTAAACTATAACGCTCTAAACTATGTGCAGAATTTATAAATTAGAAACCATAGAAAAATTTTACAGAATGCATTCTCCCATCCCTTAATATCAGAGATATGACACATTTAGCCACGCACATTCATGAAAATGAAAACATGCACCTCCCCATTTTTACAACTTAGGGTGTGCCAGCTTTCTTTAGACTCTAATGATTCCACAAGGAGATGAGAATGGTTTTGAATACAGATCAAAGGTAGCACTATTTATCAATAACAAAGCACACAGGCAGGAGAAGTTGGAAAGAATCATGTTGCAAAGTGGATTATGTTTTCATATAACTACCCACTCAGATAATCTCTCACCGAAGAACAGACAAGTGACATAGCACATTGTCAAAGTTATTATCAGCTTCTAACTGTTCACTGTTGCTGTTACTTTCAGCTTCTAACTGTTCACTGTTGCCGTTACTATCAGCTTCTAACTGTTCACTGTTGCTTCCTACAAGTTCAGATTCAGTATGAAAAACTCAACAAACACTAAATGCATAGATCTGTCTAAACAGTACCAACCCAATTATAAACTTCATCTTGCCGGTCTTCGCAGCCTGTACAAGGACAGGTACTAAATGTGGATCTTGAGGTCCAAAAATGCCATGAGGACGAATTGCAATTGTCATGAAGTTCTGTTCTGGATTATTAGCACGAAGAATTTCCTGTTATGTTTAAAAAAGATGTTAGTTGTTAACAGGTAGGGAAGAAGCTACAGCATCCACTTCAATTAATGCAATATGCAATTTTCTCATTATATTTTGTAAATGACAACACAATTCCCGAATCTTAATACTTAGAACTAAATGTTACAAGTATTGGACGGTCAAGTGTACCATACAATAGTCAAGAGTGCAAGAGTGCTTGAAAGAAGAAACAGACAAGTAAAAGAGCAAACATATGCGCAGAAGAGAGATGCATGTAGTCTCTCCAAAAACATAAAAGTCTACATGAATAGGTTAGGAGACTAGCAGCAGAAAATTACTTTTACAAGTTTACTTTTAAATTGCATCTATTGAGGAACTGGATTGCTAACTGAATGGTCACATGGATCAGGTGAGTCTCTCTTGCTGCAGTTTTGACATCCAGCATCTAGTGGGCCTTGACCCAGCATTAAACTACATAAAAGCTGCACAAATTGGTAATCTCCGAAATCATAATCATGCCAGGTGTGGCAAATATAAATACAGTGTACATCTTCCATTATTGGGCTGTAAACATATTGTTGTAGCAGATGAATGCGAACTGAATAGAATCATCAATATGGAGTGGATCTTTTTATGAATAAGGTGATTGTTCTTAACAGAAATGTTACCAGAAAGTGTTGCAAAGTAAAAACTTCAGCTCAAATATTCAGTAAAGTTTATATCATAAACTAACATATCTAAGACAAATCTAAACACATAACTACAATTTCATTTTTAAAGTTAAAGTTAAAGTGATGTCAGACTTTTAAACTTACCACTTCCTGCAAGATCTTAGTTTGTGAATAGTAGTCAATGGGCTTCTTAGCGTATGGCAGGTCTTCTGAACCATTTTTTAGGTCGGAGCCTTCAAATACGACACTAGCACTGCTAGTCAGCACCAGTTTCTGTGTACAAGAAAAATGTGCTAATCATGAAAGACTGGTGGAATGGCAGGAAGACAAATGGTTATAAAACTGCAATGTATAATTTCTTACCTGAACACCTGCTTCTTTACATGCTTCAATTATCGTTTTAGTCCCTATGTAATTAACCTTATAGAAGAGTTCTCGGTTGTCACTAGAAGGTGCTGGAGAAGCACAGTGAAACACGATGCTCACACCCTGAACTGCTGGCAGTATATCCTAAACAATCACAATTTATTAATTCACAATTTCATAGTTTGGAATTTTACTTTCAATACACAAAGACACTTAATATCAAAATTAACTAGAGGCACAACCTGTGGATATTTGCTGGATAACAATCATTTCTAGGTTGCAAATAAATTCAATATTTGAGATTTTAGGTGAGGGGCTAGGCTATACTAAAACTAAATCAATCTGTGGCATAACTTCTCCAAGATGTCTCCAAGAAAACTTAGCTGTCAGATCCATCGTGATGGCCACAAAAGTGCTAAAAAAAAAAGCAGACAGCAAATACTATCTCTATCAAATTACATTAACATTTCTGATAGGTGGCTCCTGCTAGAATATATTCCATTGACATTCAGCTGAGAGAGAAAGAAGGTCCATTATCATACACATTCACCTCAATCTCCCGTGTTGTGGTACATTCGGGATAGAGCATTGATATAACAATGGGAACACTCAAAAGACAGATCTCCTAAAACTTCATTGATGAACATCTCAGAAGTGCAGTTTGGGAAAGAATAAGCCATTAGGTTCATTGAATACATTCCTGCCACATACTTTGTCCCATCACACACACACACATACACATACAACACTAAGATGTACGGTTCACAATAACAGTTCCCCTCTGAAAGTGACCATAACTTCAGCACATCAGATAAACATAGATCAGCACAGAAATTCTGAAGTTACAGTCTGTCACACAGAGTTCCAATTTAGGAACTCACTTCTCAGTAAATCAATTGTTAATTCTTCACCCTCTACCAAATCCTTCATTGATTGGAGAAACTTTCTGCTCATCCAATCCTCGATGTCAGTAACCTGTCAGTCACTCTGATAACAGTGAATTTGAGGGAGGTAGTGGTGAGGTAGAGCTGTGTGGCATCAGCATACCCATGAAAAAGTGTTTCTCCAGGAACAAAGTCAAGTCAGGAACAAGTGTTGTCAGCCCTAGATAATTTTTTAAAATTGTTAAGTTCAGTTAACAAAATTATAGTCATACAAAAAAAGGAATGATATATCACTGTCAAATCAAATATTACAAAGCCGAGCTGTTTCTCTTTTTGCATGCTGCTGGCATCACGAGAAACTGAGACTTCAATATTATAGTGCTAAAATGTACCTTATACCAACCTCTTTACAGCACAAATCTGCACTGAAGAACTGAATTCTCTCATTCTCAACTGATTTTCGAACATCCAAAATATTAACAGTGTAGCCTTTTTCCAGAAGCTTCTTCACCAAATGCTGACCCAAGAAACCTGAGCCCCCGATAACTGTACATTTCTTATTGTGCTATAAAACGAAAAGTCAGACAAAAGTAAAACATATCACATTTTTGGCATCTATAAAATGCAAAATAAAATGCACAGCAGGCCTGCCAGCATCTGAGGAGGAGAGTTAGTGTTTCAAGTTAATAACCTTTCATCGAAACTGGGAAAAGTCAGAGATGTAATAGATGTTAAGCAGGTGGAGGTAGAAAAAGAGCAACAGAGAAGGTCTGTGACAGGGTAAAATGCAGGGGGATTAAACATCAGGAGGGATGTATTATCACAAGGATCAATGCTCCAAAGCCACAGCAATCAATAATGGGGCAAGTAAAGGAATAAAAGATGTGTCTAGGGGACATGAAAAACTGCCAACCGGAAGGAAAAAGGCAAAAAGACAAAACTTTTTCAATATCTTTGTTGAAAAGCCAACAAAGGAAACAAAATGGGAGCAGAGATTACAATGTAAAATTGTTGATCTTAAATGTCATGGGGAGATTACTGTGACCAGAAATTTAACTGGCCTGCGATGCATAAATAAAGTAACTACCAGAATAGGTCAGAGGTTGGAAAGTAGGTCATTTTCTGCTTCCCTCATCCCTATCCACCACCTACAAGACACAAATCAGGAGTGTGATGAAATATTCCCCATCCACCACCTTCAACATTCACTCCCTTCGTCACCAACTCTCTGTGGTAAGAGTTTGTACCATTAACAAGCTGCACTACAGCAATTCACAATTCACAGCATCTACCCAACCTGGAACCTCGAGATCTTAGAAGACCAGTGCAACAAATGCATGGGAATACCACCCATTGCAAGTTCTCCTCCAAGCCACTATGCCTTGGAACTACATCACTGTTCTTTCACAGTCACTGGCTCAGAATTCTGGAACTACTTCCCTAAAAGCCCTACAAGTCTATAGGCACCCCACAAACTACCACAGTTCAAGAAGGCAGGATGCCATCACTTTCTCCAGGGTGATTAATGCTAACTTAGCCAGCGACACCCACAGCCCAAGAACAACAAAAATAATTCAAAACTTGTAGCACTTCTAATGCAAGTTCCTTTTCCATAATCAAAGTCTCTCTCTCTACCTCAGTCTTGTCTCTCCCTTTAGATGCACTCCAGCTATCAACTCCTCGCTTCCTTCCTAGAACCATTCTAGTGTTCCACTTGTTCTCTCATTCTACTCCACCAGACTTTGCAGACAATTGATCATCCTCTGCCATTTCTGCCAGCTCAAGTGTGATGCCAAATACATTGTCCTTCACTTTCAGCATTCCAAAAGAACCATTCCCTTTGCATGGTGTTGGTCCACTTCTCAGTCATCCCTTTGTGCAACCATAAAGAAAGCAATGGATTGTTTTAACAGCAGGGAAAACATCACCTTTCTCCATAATACCATTCATCAGATCTCAGGTGGCATAATCACAGAATCACAAAAGTGTTACAATGCAGCAGGCTGCCATTCGGCTGATTGTGTCCGCACCAGCGCTTCTAATAAGCATCATTACCTGCTGTCAATATCCTGCTTTTTCACTATGTGCACAATATAAGACCATATTAGACAATGGTTTCTTTGGCCTTGCAACATTAATCCTTTTGTCAGGTGATGTCTCCTAATTTACACTCTATCACTCTCTACCTTTTGTGATCTTTTCCCTGCCTTCATCCTTTCACTTTCTCCAAGTCTGGGGAAGCTCGTGGACCTGAAGGGTTAAATGCTTCTCCCTTTCGCCACAGACGCATCCCATACTCCTGAACATTTCCAGCAATTCATGTTTTTATAGTGAAAATACCAGATGTATTTGCATAAATGATCCAGGCAGGTGATTACCATTGCATTATAACGTAGTCTGCACAACTGCGTCGACACTTCCCCATTCTTTGTGTATCCAAATAAAACCTCAATCCCTCGCAATATCACATAGCATTAGCCCGCAAAATGCTTACCCTTAAACGCGTGGCCATCTCCCCAGTAGCAATGTCTCCTCGAAGATTTCAGAGTAAAAGATACAGACACAACTAACGACCCCGAAGCTCCACCTCTTCAACTACATTGATAATAGTAGCCCTGTCTCTGATTGGTCGACATACCTCTATTCGGCATACTGTTACCCGGGTGACACATGCATCCGCCAATCGGATTATCGTATGACCATGGGCTGGTGATGGCCCGTGAAGCAGTGACCAATCAGAATGGGGTTTCGTTTCAACTACAGGATACCCATTCTCCGGGTCAATCCGATGAATGGGCAGGGGAAAGAAACGAAGAACTGTGGATGCTAGAAATCAGAAACAAAAACAGAAATTTCCGGGAAAACTCAGCAGGTCTGACAGCATCTATGCAGAAAAAGCAGCGTTAACTTTTAGCTTCTAAAGAAGGGTCACTGGATCCGAATCGTTAACTCTGTTCTTTCCACAGATGCTGGCAGACCTGTTCGATCGACTTCTGCTTTTGTTGTTGATGAATGGTCAGGTCCCGCATAGCTGCGAATAAAAGCAAGACATCACTAAAGCCAACGAGATGAAATAAAAACATATCCTGGAGAAACTGAGCAGGTGTGAGAGCATTCAGAATATTGTATTCAAAATATTGTTTCAATTTATTGCCAGAATATTGTTTCTTCCTTCACAGATGGTGCCAGACCTGCTGAGTTTCTTCACATTTATTTATATATAAAGAGCAAGCATCAAGTTGGAAAAGTATATTTGAGCTAATACTCAGGTATTCAGATTTTGTACTATTTTGTATTGGCTGCTGATGGTCTTACTGGAAACGAGCTGCAAATATGAGAGGCTTGGGCCTGCCAAATGACAAGGACGAACAAATACAGCAATATGTTCTCCCTTGTCTTTTAGCTAAAGAAACGGGACGGGAAAGAAGAGTAAGCTGTTGTAGGCTTCTAATTTCAGTTGTCAACGAAAAGTCAACATCATTTTGGGCAGTTCCTTTTGATTCCTCTGGCAGGCCTGCTGCAACAGTCTGTGGGCTGAAATACAGCTGCCACTGGGGGGGTCCAAATACAGGAAGCATGACCCACTTGAGAAAGTGTGTTGATTCTCAAGCCCCAGTATTCCAGGGTCACCACAAAAAGTTAGTGATGAAATCAAAGTAATGTATACTCCTAATTTACCTATTTGTTGGAATAAAATTAACAAAAACAAACCACTGATTAGGTTACTGTACATAAAGAACCACTGTTTATTACAAATATTTAAATTCAAGTCACAGGTACACAAAACTATGAGCGATCAATATAACTCTGACCCTCTTTAAAACCCCTGCACACATGCACAAACAAAAACAAATTGTTATTATGGGTAGAGAAAAAATACTGAGAACCATAATTTAATACCACCAGTGGGTAGCTTTAAAATTGTGTTCATTTTGCCAAGACCTTCTGTTCTTTGATAAGAGATAGTAGGGACTACCAATGCTGGAGTCTGACAATAACAAGGTGTGGAGCTGGATGAACACAGCAGGCCAGGCAGCATCAGAGGAGCGGGAAAGCTGCTGTTTTGAGTCTGGACCCTTCGTCATTTTCTGAAGAAGGGTCCAGACCCGAAACGTCAGCTTTCCTGCTCCTCTGATGCTGCCTGGCCTGTTCTTTGATAATCTTTCTCCAGGTTATTTCACTTCTTCGCAGGTGCCACAGGACAGTTGATATACTAGTTACTGATTAAAGGCAACAGATAAAGCAACAGGTGGGAGAAATGAGATAGCAAGAACTGCAGATGCTGGAGTCAGAGACAACAAAGTGTGGAGCTGGAGGAACACAGCAGGCCAGGCAGCATCAGAGGAGCAAGAAAGCTGACGTTTCCACACTTTGTTGTCTTTGATGGGAGAAAATAACTGGTTTGCTTCAGGTACTTTTATTGCAGAGGGAGATACGGATACAAAATTTGCTGTTTCAGCAGTCAAGCGGCTTAACCCCCAATCTACAGTGTTGATGTTTGGTTTATGTTATTTCATAGACTGAAGCATATCCTTACCAAGATTATTGCTGAAGAAGCAGCAGATACCGTGGTTTCTCAGGGTCCCACAATTCAGGACCCCATGACCCTGGTCCAGCGTTTTCCTTCTTCTGGTGGGATCATTTCACACAGTTTTGGGGGGTGGGAGAGAGGGAAACCCTTGTTAACACTGATATGGATGAGGGAAACTTTAAGCGTCAGTGGAGGATTTACTGGTAAAGGCTTCACCTCCGATAGGCAGTACTCAGCAAGTCAGAGTGAAAGTCCGGAGTGATGAGGAAAACGCACACCACAATACAAACCACCAACTTTTCCAACACCCTCTTCTCCATGCCAAAAGCTCGAAGCCGTCAACGGTAATTACACCAGACGTCACTAACGTGACAAATCGGAACGAGGGGGCGTTGTCCTGGAGTGGGAACCGCAGTCGGATTTGTGAATATTCAGGTAGAGCCCGCCTACCAGCCCGGATGACTGACGCGTCACCGGTGACCATGGGAATGACCGCTTCTGAACTGCGATTGGTCGGCCGATTGCTATGGAGCTTGATTGGGGAGCTGGAGCGTCTGGAAATACGACAGCTGGGGAATTGCAGATCTGTTCTTAACATATTGTGTAGAGCGTGTGGAAATGGCTGCTAAGGTGAGTAAAGGGACTTCTCATCCGATATGCTGACCGGCATGTTAAAACATTCGTGGGAAAGCCGCAAACGGCTGCTGACAAATAGAAGGTGAATAGTGGGAGCATTATGGGGGAGCTGCGAATTTTGGAAATGTGTGGGAGTGACAGTTGGGTAAAATGGGGAGAGTCGCGTCGTAAAGACCTAATTTGGGGCTTGGGCATCATAAAGCAAAGGCAGAAGGTAGGACGATAAGTGAATGCACTGTTGACTGTTTAACATACCAATTAAAGGGGTTTGGGCGCGGTTCGATTTCGACTCCACTGTGTAGCCCAGCACAAACACCGGATGAGTAAGAACAGACAGGATTTTTCTCCCTGAACCTCGTTTCTAACACATGATAGATAATTCACTTTCCTTTGAATCATCCCAACGTTAACTAGGGAAGGTTAAAAGCACAGTTCTGCTGCCAGAATTGCCACTGTTGTCTCGCTGTTTATAAGATCCCGGGAACAGAAGTGAACGCTTAATTAGTTAATTTACCGACATTTTTTTTCAAGAAACGTAATGACTTGGGTGCTGAATGCTCTAACAATTACGAATTAATAGAAGTTAATCATCGTAAATACTGGCACATTTGGTGTTTAATGTTTAATGATAGAGTTTAATGATACAACAGAGCAAAACACTAAAATATTCTAGACTAAATTTTGCACCAAGTGCACACTTTTAATTCTTTAAACTGTAACCTAACGCTGATGTTACTTAGGTGATTTTGGTATACAAGTGTGCAATTCAAGTTCCAGGTTGCTAGTGATGATTTCATCTCTATTTGCATTGGGGCGATGTTAAGTTGTGTTCAAAAACGCTCCTGTAAAATGGCTTGAAGGGTCTAGGCCCGAAACGTCAGCCTTCCTGCTCCTATGATGCTCCTTGGCCTGATGTGTTCATCCAGCTCTACAACTTGTTATCTCAGATTTTCCAGCATCTGCAGTTCCTACTATCTAAAATATAAGATGTTGCTCAATCGGTTAGGTTGGATGCCAATGCCCCCAACCATAAAAGAAATACCAATTTTATTTTTATTGTAATATAAAATTGTTGCAGACACATAAATGAAGAGCTAGTCTCTGATTAAGGAATTGAATTGATAGAGTCCAGAGATCATACTTGTTGTTGAACACTAACCAATTTTACTGACAAACCTAAAACTCTTTCATTTGTTTTCTTAGTTTATCTAATTCTGTCATATTCTGACAAGTTTCTTATAAAATGGTCCTTGTAAGACTTGAGATATTGTTTACGATCAGGGCACTAATTTTATGGTTGAATTACAGGCACAGTGTCTCAAAACTGGATATCTCCCAGACCAAGATTCTTTTAAGTTTTGTGTTTGGGATGACACAGGCATGTAGAGTGTTGAGGGAATGTTTTCTGATGTAAAGTTTGTAAAGTGACAGTTATGAAAAAATATAGATAATGCTGCAAGATAAACTAGGAAATTCTTTGGCGTTAGTGCTGTTAGTGGTGTTTTTTTTTTGTGGAAGTGTGGCAGAAGTTCCATGTAAATAGGTTGCCTGCTGCAGTTCAGCAAATTTTTGGTGGTAGAGTGGAAGTAGCTGCAAGCAATTACCCAGACATCTAATTGAATCAAAGATGTTGGTGATAGAGGAAAGTCAAGTGATGACAGCTTTAAAAAAAGTCTTGTTTTCGATATTGTAGGTTACTGTACAGACAGATATGAAGCATTTTCTGTACAGATATCATAGTTAGGGCATACCACAGAGAAATTGTTTAGAGACGTCCTTGGTTAATTTTCTTGTCATGGCTGAAATAGGGGAGGCTCCTTTCAGTTTAAATGTATACTGATTTCTGATGGTTGCACAGCATTAAAGAATCATATTTTTCATTCATGGAATGTAGTTTTTGCTGGCTAGGTCAGTATTTATTGCCCATCCATAACTGCACCAGAAAAGATGAGGATGAGTGGCTTTTTTTTTTGAACTGCTGGCAGACCTCAGCACACCAACAGTGCTCTGAGAAAGATGGTTCCAGGATTTTAGCCATGGGACAACGAAGGAAGAGCAAGTGACTGCGCTAGGTTTGCAGTTGTCTACAGGTTGATGCCAGGTGGTCTGTCTGGTTTCATTCCTTTCTTTGGGCTTTGCAGCAACTTGATACAGTTGAGTGGCAGTTTAGAATCATCCACATTGCTGTGTGTCTCAGCATTGATCAGCCAGATGAGGTATGGACGCTTGCCTTTCTTTCCGGGAAAGCGTTAGTTACGTGGGGATTTTCTTTTACAAGAGTCAATAATAGTTTCATTGGACTGGCTTTCAATTCTAGATTTATTTATTAAATTCAAACTTCACCAGTTGCCATCAGGGATTTTGAACCCATGTCTGTAGATTATTAACATAAGCCTCTGGATTACTAGTCCAGTGACATTACCACTAGCCACCATCTTCCCTAATTATGCAAGGTTAGAGGCATCAGCTTAGTTTTCATCTCTTGAACTAATTCTCAAATGTGGCCTTTTCAATATTGAACTTGTTTTAAGCAGGGCAATTCACCTACTTGAGTTCATCCAGCTTAAAGTAGGAAATAAATGCCAGATAGGTAGACTTGAAGAGTCTCTGTGATAATATTAGCTGTTTAACAAATTTCAGTTGACAAACTGGAGAAACAATCAAGGTAGGCATATCAGATATCACAGTTTTAAAACAAAAATGAGAGAAAGGAGGTTCCAGAGAGTCACCAATACCTAAAAGAGAGAGAGAGACTGTGCTTTGGAAATAACGCAAGAGTGTGGAAACAACAGCTTCATAAAGATTGAGTAGGAGGGACAGTGGAGTTAGAATCTTCTACAATGTGAGAAAGTGGGAACAACAGCTTGATAAAGAGTGATCGATTATTCCAAGAATTTTTCTGAAGAAGGGTCTAGACCCGAAACGTCAGCTTTCCTGCTTGGCCTGCTGCGTTCATCCAGCTCTTGCACCTTGTCTCCTATTAGGAAGGGAGTTCCAAGACTCTTTTTTAACAGTAATTCAGGAACAGTGATGTATTTCTAAGTCAGGTTACTGTGTGTTTTATTTTTGAGGGCAAGTTGTTGTTGGTTGTGTTTCCATGCTCCTGCTGATGACGCTCTTCTAGGTGAGATGCTGTCAGATAAACCTTGATATTTAAAACAAAATCAAATAGCCAGGGAAACAGTGACGTTTGATGTTGTGGCTAACAATCCATTCCAGGAGAAGCCTTGACTAGTTACTACAATGCATGTTGTACAGAGCAGTCATTGCAACTATGGTGCTTTGGTGGCGAGAGAGGGTGAATATTTAAAGGGGAGGATGAGGTATCATCAAGCGGGCTACTTTGTTCTAAATAAAGGTGAACTACTTAAAATATTGTTAGAAATGTGCTCATCCAGGGAAGTGAAGAGTATTTCATAACATTTATTACTTGTGCTTTGCAGAAATAAGTATAGAAAATAGGAGCAGGAGTAGGCCACTCGGCCCATCAAGCTCTGCTACTCAACGTGATTGTGACTAATCTTCTATGTCAACAGCATAGTACAGAGTACCAGGTGGCACAGTGGTCAGCGCTGCTGCCTCAGCGCCAGGGACCCAGGTTCGATTCCACCCTTGGCGACTGTCTGTGTGGAGTCTGCACATTCTCACCGTGACTGCGTGGGTTTCGTCCGGGTGCTCCTGTTTCCTCGCACAGTCCAAAGATGTGCAGGGTGGGTGGATTGGCTAGGCTAAATTGCCCATAGTGTCCAGGGATGTTTAGGTTAGGTGGGTTAGATATGGGAAATGCAGGGGTAGGGGAATGGGTCTGGGTGGGATGCTCTTTGGAGGGGCGGTGTGGACTTGTTGGGCCGAATGGCCTGTTTCCACCCTGTAGGGATTCTATGATATGATCATACTCTCTCCCCACACTCGTTGACATTTTTATCCCCTAGAACAGAATAGCAGATGATAGATAGGCTTTGGGGAGCCACAAGGTAAGCTACACATCACAGAATATTCTGTGACCAACTCTTGTGGCCAAATGACATGTATGGTGGGTCCAGTTAAGTTTCTGGTCAATTGTAATCCCCAATATGTTGATGGTGGATGATTTGGTGCTGGTAATGCCATTGGATGTAAAGGCGTAGTGGCTACATTCCCTTGCTGTAAATAGTCATTGTATGGTGCATGTGTGATGTGCATGTTACTTGCGACTTTTTTTTATTAACCTATTTTTCTAATCAACCTGCTCAGAGGTGTTGTTACACATCTCAGGAACAGATGAGACTTGAACCATGGTCACTTGATCCAGGTTTAGAGACACTATACTTGCCACTTATTGGCCCAAGCCTGTTATCCAGGACTTGTATGCAGAAAAAGAACATGTCATCTCATTAATTTCAATGTTACTATAGCTTATTGATACCGTACTTGGTTAAATGCTGCCTTGATGAGAAGGGCAGTCACTCTCATCTCACCCTGGAATTCAGCACCTTTGTCCATTTTTAGATCAAGACTATATTGAGGATTGAAGCGAGAAGTTCACATAAGGAGGCTACAAAAATATATATAGCCAAGTTTAATGAGTGGGCAAAGATCTGACAAATGGTGTGGAATGTGGGGAAAAATGTGGAATTGTCTATTTTGGTAGGAAGAATAAAAATGAAGCATACTGTTTAATTGGTGAAAGAATGCAGAGTAACTGGGAATTGTAGTGCATGATGCACAAAATGATAGTATGCAGGTACAGCAAGTCATTAGGAAAGCTAATAGAATTCTATCACTTATTGCAAAGGGAACAGAAATACAAATAGGGCCGTTATGCCTCAGTTATGCAGAGCATTAGTGAGACCACGTCTGGAGTACTGTGTATAATAGTGGTTTCAAACACAAATTGAAATTGCTGGTAAAGCTCAGCGGGCCTGGTAGAGTCTGTAGAGAGAAATCAGAATTAATGTTTTGGGTCCAGTGACCCTTCCTCAAAACATGTTGGTTTTTACAGTATTGGTCTCCTTATTTAAAGAAGGATTTAAATGCATTGGACACAGTCCAGAAAATGCTTACTGGACTAGTATGTGAAATATACAGGTTTCCTTCTGAGGAAAGGTTGGACTGGCTAGGCTGGTGTCTGGAATTTAGAAGAGTAAGAGATGACTTGATTGAAACATGTAAGGTGTCCTTAAAATCTTACATGTTAGATGCGGAAATGATGGTTCCTGTTGTGGGAGAATATAGAACTAGGGATCACAGAGTAAAAGTAAGAGTTTTGTCCATTTAAGACAAATAAAACGAATTATTTTCTCACAGATAGCCATGAGTCTTTGAAATATATTCAGAAAGTGGTGGAAGCAGAATCTTTAAATATTCTTAAGGCAGAGCTGGATGGAATATTGGTAAGCAAAAAGGTGAGTTTTTTGGGGGTAGGAGGGAATATGGAGTTACAATCAGATCAAACATGATGATGATGAAAAGGGTGGAACTCCATGTTCCCTCAATTTTCTGGGTCCTGTGTAGGACCCAGAGTAGTCTGTGGCATATTGCATTGAGTGGAAGTCGAATTGCATTTCTTTTTTTTTTTTGCATTTTGTTAATTAACTATTTTACAGTTACAGGCATTCTACATGTATATGCCAATTTTTATCACTATTAACTATCAAAAGCGTGCATTTATATGATCTTACAACTACAGGTATTCTATCTGCTAAAATAAACAAAAATTGGAAGCTCATTTCAGAAGTCTGGGGACTTGTTTAAATTTGGTGCTGTGTTCATCATATATATTATGTGACCAAAAGAGAGGATCATAGAATCCCTACAGTGTGGCTTGCAGCTATTCAGCCCATTGGGTCTGCACCAACCTTCCAAAGAGCATCCCACCCAGACCCAACCCCCACTCTATCATCATCACCCTACATTTACCGTGGCTATTTCACTTAGCCTGCACATCCCTTGTTGGGGCAATTTAGCATGGGCAATCCAACTAACCTGCGCATGTTTCAACTGTGGGAGGAGACTGGAGCACCCAGCAGAAACCCACACAGTCACAGAGAATTGTCTGCGTGGAGTTTGCATATTCACCCAAGGCTGGAATCAAAACCAGGTGCCTGGCACTGTGAGGCAGCAGGGCTAACCATTGTGTCACCCACTAGAAAGAGTATAGCATGATCAGAAGGAAAGAAGTACCATGCGTTGGGTGGGAATCGAACCTGGACCTGCTGCATAGCAGATGGGAATTCTACCACTGAACCTTAATTGCAACCCCCTTGCTAGCAGTTTATTAACTCCTTTATTGGCGGTCTTTCATACCAATCTTAATTTGCTGCCCAACGATTGTATACTGCATTCGGATTGATATATTGTCCAGATGAAACGTATGACCTAACTTGTATCAAATGGTCCCAAGTGATCTATTCTAATCTTTCTGGATTCGCACTTAATCAAATTCATGAGGCTAAATCTACACTCACAGTCAGCACTTGATGCCTGAAATAGCCCACCAAATCACTGAATGTTTGAACAGAACCCGTCTTGACTTGGTCCACAACCATAAATTTGAAATTGGACCATTCTTCATGTATCTTTTCAACCAAAATAATACAAATGTGTGGTTATAAAGTGAAATGTTTCAATATGTTGCACAATGCTGTCTTTTCCAAATTCATAATCTGTTTTCTTGCTTTCTTGCAGCCTGGTTAAATGCATGCCACTCTCGTAATTCCTCTTGTGGAAATCTGCTTTCCAGGTAGTCACGTAGGCATTGAATAAATTTAAAGATTGCAGCAGCGTCCACATCACTGAGAGCAGCCAGAACCTTCATCACTCTGATAAACAAGTTCACCTAGATACCGAGTCCTCAGTTTAGTGAGACCTCAGGAAATTGCATAGCTTCAATTGTTGTCAGAGCTTTTCTGCAAGAATTTGCACAATGGTGCCAGTTCACTGAGACCGTCATTCAAAGCAGTCAATGCAATGCAATATTTTGGCTTTGTGAGCAGTTTCAGGCAATATTTATTTTTTGGATCATTGTGCTTATTCACTTGCTCTCTGCAGTATTCCATTGAGCCATTGTGGTTTTTATGTTAGAGCACTCACTGCAAAATGTCTTGACGGCCACTTCACATCATTCAGAGGTTGAAATGCACTTGTATTACATTCTTTGACTAGGACAATTTGAAGATTTTTTTCTGTTCTTCACAGTTGATCTGCTGACCATTTTACACAGTTCTTAGAAGCATTTTAATGTCTTGCATAATTGACACCTCTGTCCAAACATCACCAATTCCCAGATATTTTCTATGAGCAATGCAGTGCTGTTCTGACGAATGTTTAATTTCGCATCACAAGATTGTGGCTACTTTATTTTTCCCAGCATAACTGAGGCTCCGTCTGATGTAAGCATCACCATCTTCTGTAAATCAAGGTCACTGAACATAAAATTGATTGATTGCTGCCACAATTAGCAATGATGCAGTGAGTTTCAAAATTCCTGCAAAGGCAGTATTGTAAGCAAATTCTGGTCAAACTTGATGTGCAAAATCCACATTTTTTTTGTAAACTGAAATGTCTGTACATTCATCCACCATCAATATATGAAAGAGTGATTTGCGCAATTCATCCAGGAACTGTCTTTGTGTAATGAAACCAATGCACTCCACAAATTCAAAGGTGTAACTCTTACTGCGCAAGCTCTCAATTACTTTGTCATCTGATCATCAATGTCTTGTATGGAAGCATTGATGCATTCATCTTTACTGTATGTATGACAGTATCAGTGAGAACTTTCACCATACTCCGGATCGTACATTTCACAATAAGTTCGAATGTGACTGAGTCATGCATTCTGTTTCTGCATTGAAGATGGCACTTAATTTTAATGACCTGAGAAAGCCATTCCATTGTGAAATGTGCTCGGGGTTTTCTTTCTTTTTTGATGACTCATTTGCCTTACTTTTGGACATACTTAAACTTATCAAGAAAGCAAAGTTTTAAAATACAAAAGTGAAATGTATCTTGCTACTTTTGTCATGTCTTACTTGCTTCCGGAGTAGCTGCCTACCTACTGGACCTTGTGCCTGATCTTCCTGGTCACTGTTGAGAAGGCTGTTAACTCCCCTGTCTCCCCAATCCTGTTCCGCCAGGAGGTGATTGGGTCTAGCTGTTTTGGCAATCACGAATGTTTACATTTTTTCTAGGGCTGGAAGCAGTTTTGTGGCCAAGTCACAAGTTCAGAAGTACTGGTCTCTGTTCTGGTGTGTGAAGGATCCTGGGATTCGTGCACTATCCATATGGAACAGTTGAAAATGTGCTGTGTGGAGGTCTAGATGATTCTTTCATTGGCTATCTACGTGGCTCTTGGAAAGGTGCTAGTTGGAAGTGTGACGAGGATTCCTCCTTTGGCTATTTGGATGTGGCCATCAAGTGTGTGGACAATCATGGGAAATGTGCAGGTTTAGCTTTCCTGGTGCGTGGCGTGCATGCATGCAGCTGACAGAGAACATTGGTGGCACAGCCAAAAGATCCACTCCTGCTTCCAACTCAAAGTTTTGCATGTTGCAGCTTGGTATTGGCCTGATTGGATTTGTCCTTTTGTTTTAATGGAATATAACATATCTAACCAATTTCCATAATGCAACACTGCTATTTGTCCAACAATAAAAGTGACATAGTTTGACTGGGAGCCTGATTTGTTCTTGAGCACAATGGCCTAGATGTCATCTAAATCTGTAACCTTTGTTATTTCCAAAAATGAAAACAGAAATTGCTAGCAAAACTCAGCAGATCTGGCAGCATCTTTTGTGAGAAAGCAGAATTAACATTTCAAGCCTGGTGACTCTTCATCAGAACGTGCATTTTCTGTGTGCACTGGGCTCAGACATTTCTTGATTTTACATGGACTAAATCAAAATGATTGAAGATTCATTGGTATCTGTGATGCTGGGACCTCAGGAGGAATGTAGAATCACATCAGTTGGCATTGGTTTTGATTTTTTTTTTTTTTGTTATTATGGAGCAGATCTTTAGTTTCATTTCCTGTGTTAATGAAGAACAGATTTCCTTTTGTCTTCTGAAATGAAACCACTTGGCACTTCTTGGCTCTTGCACTGATGTTGTAGGCTCCTTGGTGAGGATATGGATATCATTGGAATCCCTTCCTTCAATTGTTTAATTGGATGCCATCATTCATTACGAAAGTGACACAGCTGTCGAACTTTTTGGACCCATTGAATTCCATCACACTACTGACTTGTGCTTTGCAGATAGAAATGTAGAAAATACGAATGTGAGTTGACCATTCACCCCATTGAATCCTCTCTGCCATTCAACTGATCCTTGATCTTGATGTCGTACTCCTGCTCTCCCTGTACCCCTAGACACCTTTTTAGGCTGTAGAATTGAGTAATAGATGATCATAGAATCCCTACAGTATGGAAACAGGCACTTCGGCCCAACAAGTCCACACCGACCCACGGAGCATCCCCCCTAGACCCATACCCCTAATCTACTCATCCCTGAGCACTATGGATAATTTTAGCAAGGCCAATCCACCTAACCTGCACATCTTTGGACTGTGGGAAGAAACCGGAGCACCTGGGGGAAACCCATGCAGGCATGGGGAAGCATGTGCAAACTCCTTGCAGACAGTCGCCCGAGGGTGGAATCGAACCCGGGTTCTTGGCGCTGTGAGGCAGCAGTGCTAACCACAGAGCCACGGTGCTGCCCTAAAGAAACGATGGACAGATTTTAGGAGTTAAGAAGCAAATTACTGTCTATAAGAATATCCAGCACCTGAGCTACTCTTATAACCACATGACTTGAGAATTGTTGGGCTCTGTCCAAATCGTATTGCTTCTGCTGCTATGTATGCAATGAGTTCTGTATTTTATCCTCACCAGCATCATACCTCATTTTTGGGTATACCTATATACGAGTGCTCATCTTGGCATTCTCTTTTACACTCGTCATTGAATAAAAGTTTATTTGTTGCTTGCATGTAATGCAGACTGAAGGATCTAATTGGTCATAAGTTACAGATTGTAGTTGACTACAACCCTGCCATTGCTCATGGTCCATTGAGCCTCATGGATGCCCAGTTGTGAGCTGCTATATCTGTTTCCAATCTATCTTATTTAGAATGGTTGCAGTTCCATATAACACAATACACAGTATTTTTTTCTCTTTGAAGATCGTATTCATTTCCACAAGGAGTGTGGTGGTTATACCTACCAATACTATAATGGACAGGTGTATCTGTGACAGAAGGATGAAGCTGAGTATGTTTTTTGCCTCATTGATCTTCTCACCACCCAGTCTGGCAGCTGCATCCTTCAGGACTTGCCTGGTTGGGACAGTCACCATAGTCTCATAGAGCTGTTGTTCCATCAGAGAGAGAGACTACTGATGGTTTAACATGAGGGTCACCACGTCTCTGCAAGTGGAGACGTTAGGAAGGAGAGTCCTTCATGGTAACCTCTGGTTGGAACAAGTATGGTGCTATTGGATCACACTTGTTGACAGATATTGAAGACCCCACCAGAGTATATCCAGTACCTTTGCTGCTGTCAGAGGTTCTTCAAAACACTGTTCAGTAGAAGAACACTGATTCATCAGTTGAGGCAGGACATTATTGGTAATAAGGAGCACTTCCCATCAGAGGTGCCAGGAAATTTTCTGGGATCCAGGATCGATGTTGTCCACCCAGGGCCATTCTCTCCCAATTCTACATCACCATGCCACCATTTCACTGCTGGAGAAGGCAAATGTGATAAAATTGGAATATGGGATGTTGACTGATGATTGTGAAAATCGCTATGAATTCTTGACTAGTCTGTATGGTGGTTCTCCCAATTCTGACACAAGTCCTCACTTGTTAATGATTTAGACTTTGCAAGATTGACTTTGGGTATTCTTATGTCGTGTTCTGCACCTAGGTTAACAATGGGTGGTCGTTCAATAGTTTTTTTATGCTGTGCAGTTGCCCAGCTGCTTGGAACTGCACACGCCAACTGGTGTGTGGACACATTGACTTCTGGATCCATAAGTCACTGCTATGCACAGACCTCAGAGACCATTTCAGAAGATATTTGAGTCAAGCATTTTGCTTCAAGTCTGCAATTATACATGATCCAAATTAGTTAGCTCAGTTGGCTGGATGCTGATTTGCAATGCAGAGTGATGTCAACACCGGCTGAGTTACCATGAAGGAAGCTCCTTTTCAATCTCCCTCCTCGCCTGAGATGTGATAACTCTCAGGTTTAATCACCACTAGTCATTTCTGTTTAGAGAGGGCACCCTATGGTAAGACCATGGCAAGTTTACCTTTTGCATAGTCCAAACCAGTAAAGATGCTGGATTTTCTTCCTTTAAAGGACATCAGTGAGGCTGACAGATTTTTAATCATAATCCAGTAGTTTGGAATAAAGAACAATACAACACAGGAACAGGCCCTTCAACCCTCCTACCGTGCATCAACACATTTTGCCCTTCCATACTAAAACTGTCTTCACTTACAGGATCTGAATCCCTCTATACCCTTCCTATTCATGTATTTGTCCAGGTGCTTCTTGAATGCTGCTATTGTGTCTGATTCCACCACCTCCTCTGGCAGTGACTTCCAGGCACTCGCCACCGTTTGTGTGGAGAACGTGCCTCGCACATCTCTTAAACTACCCCCCTCACACCTTGAACCGGTGTCCCCTAGTAATTGACTCCTCCACCCTGGGAAAAAGCCTCATACTTTCCACTCTATCTACGCGTTCACAATCTTATAAATTTATATCAGGTTGACCCTCCATTCCTGCGTTCCAGTGAAAACAAACCCAGTATATCCAACCTTTCCTTCTAGCTAAAATCCCCCATACCAGGCAACATCCTAGTAAACCTTTTCTGTACCTTCTCCAAAGCATCCATATCTTTCTGGTAGTGTGGTGATCAGAACTATGCGCAATATTCCAAGTGTGGCCTAACTGAAATTCTATAAAGCTGCAGCATAACTTGTCTATCCTTATACTCGATGCCCCTTCCAATGAAGGCAAGCCTGCCATAGGCTTTTTTTACTGCCTTATCTACCTGTGCTGCCACTTTCAGTGATCTGTGGACCTGCACACCCAGATATCTCTGCATATCAATATTCCCAAGGGTTCTGCCATTCACTTATTATTTCCACCTGTACTTGACCTTCCAAAATGCATCAGTTCACATTTGTCTGGATTAAACTCCATCTGCCATTTTTCTGCTCGTGCCTCCAACTGATCCATATCCTGCTGTATCCTCTGACAATCCTTCACACTATCTGGAACTCTACCAATCTTTCTATCATCCACAAATCTGCAAATTAGACCAGCTACATTTTCCTCCAAATCATTTATGTACATCACAAACAGCAGAGGTCCCAGCACTGATTCCTATGGAACACCACTTGTCACAACCCTCCATTCCAAAAAGCTTCCTTCCACCTCTACCCTCTGTCTCCTATGACTAAGCCAGTTCTGTATCCATCTTGCCAGTTCACTCCTCATACCTTGTGATTTCACCTTTTGTACTAGTCTGCCATGAGTTTCATAGTCCCCATCACCAACATCTGATTTCATTTAGTATTTTATTGAAATAAACTACCAGCTTTTAATTCATAATTAAAATTAAATTCTTTAGCTTCTCTGATGCTATTGGAATCAGATCTCTGGAGCATTAGTTCAGGCCTGGATGAGTAGCCTGATAACACAACCAACATAATCTTCATATCCTCTGGACTAGGGAGGAATATCCACCTCATTCCCTCCCTCCCTCCCTCCCCCCCTCTCTTTCCTCAATTGCTAGCTAGAATAAATTGCTGGAAAAGACATCATAAAGGGTCTGATTTAACCACGTGTTAAAATCCTGTTCAATCTAGACAGGATACTAGAGGGTAACTGCTGTAAGTGAAACAGTACTCCTGCATGAGTCACTGCCTGTGAAAGAAGTGATTACTGTGAAGATGTGCAGAAGAAATAACTATGTACTCTGATTAATAGCCACATGGGCGCGATACAAGGTTCCTGGCATGCATGAAACCACACCCTAGAACTGAGGCAACATTTTATTGAGGGGCAAAGTGGGATTTGAAATTGCCAGAGCAATTTAGTAAGGTTGGGGAGATTATGGAAGGTTTCCTGATCTGTCTCACTTTCCTCTTTTAGAGGAAATACACAGAACAACTATCACCCTACCCTATCCATTTCTGGTGGAAGGATTTATGGTTTCCACCTTCCCACTCCCAAATTGTCATATTTTGGTGGAATTCTAGAATACAAAATAAATTTTTCTGCATAATTATTGTATGATCTTGTATCCAACGTTACAGCTTCAAATATAACTATAAGTCTCTAAGTAAATTCTACAAACTGTAAATTCTCTCTGCTTCCTCTGGATTGTGAAGTATTGCAGGTATATTTGCACATGCCCCATGTTTTGAGAAGCATAGTTTTGGACATTGGATAACCTGGCTACATGTCACATGATCACAGGTTTTTTGTTTAAAATGCTGAGATGAACATGAATCCTTATCTATACCACTGACTCTTTCCCTTTCTGTGGCCACGGTTTGGTCTGAACCAGACTGTTTGCACCTTCAGGATCCTGTTTAACCCTGAGTTAGATTTCTGCTTCCATATTTTTTCATTGCAAAGACTATTGTACCTATTTCACGTTTGAAACATTATCTGTCTCCATCTATGTCTCAGCCATCAGTTAATGGAATTCTCACACTTGAAATTGTTACCTCCACATTCAATCAAATCGATTCCCAGCTAACCTCCCAATTTCCACCCTCAAATTTAAACTTTTGTCTTTGCAGCTGAAATGTTAGCCCAGATGAAGTACTGGCTAACTACCTGTCCCTTGTACTCTGCTTCCCCCC